ATTTTTGGCACATTGACTATTATCTATTAAGTATAGCCAATCAATCTTGAACTAATTAATGAAGGTTTTATGCTTAAAACGCCAAACAAATTTGAGTTCATTAATAGCGTTAAACAAACAATTATTGTTAATTCTTAATTGTCCTTTCACATTGTTTTGCTTGGGAAAATAAATTGCAACTTTTTTTGTTTCGAAACTATTTTGGATTGTAATAATCGTATTCACGCAGTCGTCTCCAGTTTGATATCACAGAAGGGTCGTAAAATAAAAAGTTCATTCAAAGTTTTCTTTTCATGGGTTTATATTTCTGCCCCTCTCGGTTATCGGATGGTTTTTTTCGGAGGTTGTGCCACCCGTACTCACATGTTTATTTGTTGGAATATTATTAGAATTCTCGATTCATGTGAAACAACGCACAAAGCGAAATAAAATGCAAATAGGCAAAGCCGACGCAAAAGTCGCGAGCTCTTTTCTGATAAGAAAGTCGAATGAGACGGGGCTACGGGGGGCGATAGAGAGGGGGCATTGGAATGGCATCACCATTATCATCGATAGATAATTAGCAAGGTGATAATAATTCCAAGCTGAGAGCGAAAGCGAGAACGAGATGCGATGATGATGCCACGACAAGTTCAAATTCCACTGTGGGTGGAGCCCAAGTAAATCCTCTACAGTGCGAAAAATACTTAATCTTGGTTTTAAAATTCATATAATATGTCCGGTCTTTTGAAGTAAAATTGATCACAGTTTGGAAACTATTTTCAAATAATATTATATGGATTTCCAAAATAATAGACTTTTTCGTCTTGTGTATAAATAAATTGTGAAAAAATATTCGATTTCTTTCTGTGTCAAATCTCTAGAGAACTAGATGCGATAATGGCACAAGTTTAATGGTATTCCATGGTAAGTGTGTGTGCCACAGGCTGACGCACCGGCCATAAATACCAAGGCCAAGGAACAACTCGAATGTGTTTTTGTTTGTTTTTCCAGCTCAAGTGCCTGGAGGACTCCGAAATGGGAGGTTTTCCGCCCGACCAAAGGAGCAAATAAATATTAACGGGCGCGGGCGCAGACAAACATTTGCATTGAAGCGTGGCAGGACAAATGTACAGTGAATACTTAGTAAATTTGATTTTTAAAAACTAATATTTAAATTTTGAGGAAATGTAAGGAATTCAATTAAATTAGAGACATATTTTCTGGCTGTTTGGCGATATGAGATCATTTCTTGTAAGAAGTAAGAAATATATACATTCAATTAAAAAAAATACAAATAATATTTTTTAAATTAGTATTTCATTCTTAATAAAAAAAATAAAGGTTCAAAAATATTTTTAAAGTAAGACCATTACATATAATAAACAAAACAACATTTAGGATCTATTAAATATTTTTTACTTTTTTGATATATATATTTTTTAAAGAATTAATCCAAGAAATAATATAATGTTCATTAACAGTAAAAAATGGTACTTATATATCAATTTATTTGCCCTAAATATCGCCCATATTGCCCGCTATAATTATATGTTCTTATGCGTAGTAAATACATGAATTAAACACAAACCACCACTTTGTCCACTTTTCCGACCAACAACAAAACGTAGCAAATTAACAACAAAAGCACTCCACTTATGCACAAGATGATATAATAACAGGAACCAGGAAGCTCGCGAACCTGCAAAGGAGCCGACTGTGACACTTAAATTTTAATGTTTCTCGGGGAAATTTCACTTCGTTTCATTTCTTTTCAGCTGGCGTCACTCGACGACTTTGCCCGACTTTCCGTCGATTATTTTTTACACTCATTTAAGATGCAACACTTGGCGAGTTTATATATAGAGACTTGTTGAAATTTTCTTGCAATTAATTTGAATAATTAATATGCACACGGACAGGGGCTAGATACAAACACACCTTTGCTCGTGCCCCATTTCCCCGGGCGCCTTTCCTTAGAATTTTCAATATTTGTTTGCCGTTTATGTGTGTGTGTGTGCTGTAGTATTTTCTTGTTTTCCTATTTGTGTGGCAGCATCGTGGATATGTCCACGTTGCGCTGTTTTTGTCGTTAAGGCTAACGAGAAAATTTCGCACGTTTGCACTTCGCCGCGACCGCCGCGCAACTGAAGCGAAATTCTCAAAAGCAGCCAAAGCCAGCAGCAATCGCAAACAAATCAGCAGCGGCGGAAAAGGCAAAATCCAAATAAAATTGCCGAGCTCAACTCAACTCTCGATTTCGACTCGGGTTTATTCGCTCTCTTCCTTACAAATCCCGCAGAGAAATACCCCCAACCGGGAGAGAATTTGGGGCAGAGAACTTGAGATTCTTAGGTGCTGATTTCGAATACCACATCACTTTACACATTCTACGCGTTCTCGACGCGCTTCCTCAATCTGATTCTATTTTATTTTGGCTTTCCGATTGTTTATTTACTCTTCTCAATTTCGGTTGGGCGTTTGTTTACAATCCGCGGCAGAGGTGAAAGCCATGGTCGCCCAGCTTTCTCACAGGTGTCTTAAAAACTTGAAGTTGTAACAAAGAGAAATGTGGAGTCCGTTGGTCTCAAAAAGAGCATGTCGAAAGCTAAGAGTTTTCAGGGTTGACAGGTGCTGAAATCGAACTATTAGTAAACATTTTATATTTAAAGGTTCTGATTAAAGCAAAGGTTGATCAAGACATTTTTTACGCCTTTTAAAAAAATTCATAATTATTTTAATTCGTATTAGTTTAAAATGTGTTTATAGCGATTAGTTACAAATAAAGGTAGGACATTTTCCCCATGGTTTACGTATACGTAATATTTGAAGTTCGTGTAAAGTTAAGTTTAAACTCAAAAAACGTGATTAAATAAAAAAACTTGAAGCAACAATTGTTTTTAGCAAATAAAATAAAACTTATATATTTGAATTCATAGCAAATAATTAAAAAATTTACGAACAATAATAAACATTTTTAAAATAGGACATTCTCACGTTACTTACGTATACGTAATATTTGAAGTCTTATAAAAGCGAAATGAGAAGCAAATAAAGAGCAGCCGAAACTTAAGAGATAAGCACGTCAATCGAAGAGAGTCGAGTGAGCGGGCTTTTTATGGGCCACTGTTGCGCTTTGCCCTGCTCCCGAAAAGCTCTAATCTGCACTGGAAAAAATCATGCACGGTACTAACTAGGTTTTCAATGGATGCACTTGGTCGAATGTGGAGCTCCGGGGAAGCCCCTTTTGGCAGTCAAATTGAAGCGCGTAAACTGCATATTACGGTAACACGCCGCTGCGGAAAGGTAACCGGAAACGTAAAGCTTTTTGCCAGCAACGTAATCGCTTTTCCACGCTAAGAGCTTTTCATTTCGCAGCGTCAGAAAAATGGGGAAAAATGGGCGGAAAGAACTGGGCCAGTCAAACGAAGGAACTCCGAAAAGGGAAGCATAAAATTGCTCTAGCAACACATGGCGCTTACCCCGCCCCGGAAAAAAATGGGGGCGGATGATGGTGGGAGGCCATTTTTCCAAAAGGGGGAGGCTGGCTTTTGTTGTTGGGACTGTGCCGCCTGCCAACTGACAACAAAAGCGTCGCACGTAATATAATAAAGAGATTTTCCATAGCATACAAAGCGGGGCTGCGTCGAGACAGTTGCATGTGTCCTGCTACATAGAGAAATATTATGGTAAAATAGGCTGTTTCAGTGTTTCGAATCTTAATTTTAAGTTGGATGTTATGTTAAAAATATAAATTGCGATTTACAATTTATGAACATTTAAAAAATATAATAAAGAAAATCGTTCAACCAATATCAAAACACATTAAATATATTGAATATTGAATCTTTTAATTTTAATTTAATTTTAACTATGTCTATATTAAGTTTTACTATTCGTTGTGTGTTATTTATCAATTTAAGCTACCTTTATAACTTTACCATTGTCTAATTTTTGGTATATTTAATTTAAGGAAACATCATTAACAAAATACACACCCACACTTTTAGCATTATAATCTAAATCTATCCATCTCTCTAATTTATGAATCATTTTTTAACTGTTATTGAAATACAACAATGGTATTTAATTCAATTTAACTCTGTAAATCTGTTTTTTAATGGCAATTTTACACCGGATTTAGTATTATGTATGCTTCATCTTGATATTACTTTTTTCCTGTGTACATGGGGTCCAGGTCCTCGGAATGTACAATTCTCCCGACTGTCTGCCCCTGGCGTGTCCTCGTCTAAGCCTCGCATTGTACATTGTACACACACATTATAATGGAAATCGGTTTTAGCTGAACTAAAAATAATTGGCCTTGCATCTCTGGTTTGTTTTCCGTCCATACATCCATACACCCATATATATATACATATAGACGAGTATCTGTGTGAGCTCAAGTCCCCGTTGTTGGTGGTAATCAACAGTTTGTTGGCACGCGTTGCCATTTTGGCCCCGGGGTTCGGGGGTCTGGGAGTGGGCCAAATTTAGACGGAGCGAAAAACATTTCGCAATTAGCCGATTCTCCTCTCCATTCGGGCTTGTGTTCACGGATTTCCCAGTATTTGGTTTTCCAAATTTACGCTTACAATTTGGGATGGCTTTTTGGGATTTTATTTACAGCATTGATGTTACAGCTGTAATGAAAATTATCTTTGGATTTTAGCTGCACTCGGATTAATTTCCAATTGAATGTTAGCTTGGAAAATATTTGGAACATGTTATTTAAGTGGCTTTAATGGTCCAGAAATTTAAATTAATTCAAATTAAATCGAAAAAGTTCCTCAGATAAAAGAAAGCCAATCTTTTATTCTTTAAATTCCCCTAAAATGCGCCCCGCCTCTTCTATTATTTACGCAAATTGCTTGAGACTCTCCATTCAGGACTCTTGCAGGGATTCTCGCTCAACCGAGAGCATTTTAAATTGGAAATAAATCAAAGGCCCAAGCACCAACATATTTAGCCCATCGACTCGAACGAGCATCCTGCTGCAAGAAAAGTACAAACTCGGCAAATTCTCGCTGCTCGCACATTAAAGTTGCATTTATTTTTCGGTGGGCAATGGAATCATGGGGGCTACATAAAGTCGAAGGCAGGCAGCCATATAAAAAGGAAAAGGAGGCTGCCTAATGCGGCAATTGTTAAACCAAATGCAAATAGACGTTGCAGTTGGCAGTCCCCGAAGAACTGGGGCCGCGTGCCAGGCATAAATCACTCCAATGGCTGCTCCTCCTTCTACTCCTCTTTCTCCTCGTCCGCTCCCTGGTTCGTTTCCGGTTCCGCTTCCGCTTCCGCCGGAGCCTCTAGCCTCAGTTCGGACTCCAGCTCCAATTCCAAATCCATGCCGTACGCCTCCCTGTCGACGGTTAGTTTGGTAACGCTCTCGAGGGTTTTTATGGTCTGCATATACAGCTTCTTGGCCAACTCCTTGTCTTGGCCCGTCTCCGAACTTTCCGCAATTTCGCAGTCACTGCAATGGACAAAAGAGGGACGGAGGGATGCAAAAAAGTGGCCAACAAAGTGCTGCTAATGCGGCCAACAGAAGCTGGAGACTCGAAAGCTGGAAACTGGAGTGGCCATGGCAACTACTCACTTGAAGTACTCGCCGGTGACTTCCTTCAGCTGGGGATCGGTGGCCAAGCGGATGGCGCACTGGGCTCCCTCGTAGGCGTTCTTCATGAAGAGCCACATCCACGGGTAGGTGACCGCCTTCACGCAGATGGACGACATCAGTGGCGAGCTGAAAAGTTAACCAATTATTGTAGCCATTGTTAAAACGAACAAGGAGCCAGTAAATTCTAAAGTCAAGAGCAAGACTCTTTACAAATAAATAATTAAGTGGCTTTTAAACGGACTCGTCGTCTTTAGTTTTCATTTTCGCAATTTAAAATAAAAATGTCAGAGTTTTGGCCAGATTTATTGCTAAATAAGTAATTATTTTGAATGTGAGTTTTCTCCAAGTTATTTGACAGCTCAAACAAATTAAAATACTCATAAATACACTCATGAATAAAATGAGTGCTTAGTTCTGGTACGTCGTCTACTACATTCGAACATCTTGAAATAATTAAAGTGGAAAACTTGAAATAACTCTTTGATTTATTTATATTGTTTGCTTCAATTCAAATTGCTAGTGACGAGAATACTTTTGTTGATTGCTTAGCCAGTTGAATTTGTTTTGATTCGGGAACGGGAAATTGTCTTAAAACTTTCAAGTTATGCATAAACTTAAAAATTAAGTTTATTGCCTAACTTTCTGTTTATTATTCAAAGCAGATTCCGTTTTCAATTAAATAGTTAAATCCCAGTTAAGTTCTGCATAAAGTTTACACTAAATCTGGCCTCTTAACGAAACTTGAACAATTTCTTTTTGGTGCATTGTTTTAATGACATTTTCAATTGAGGCGATAAAGGGCGGTGGCAGTGCCGCCAGATGTCCTCCATTGAATTCAGCCGCTCAAACGTTGATCTCCAGCTTTTGGCCATCTCGGCAGCTGGGCGTGGGCCAATTCCAGCGACTGAGCTCAACGAGTTGTGCGAAATGGCCACCCATAACCCAGCACTCAGGCGTTTCTTTTAACCTCTTTCCCTTTACTTAGTGCACTGAGAAAAATCAGGGCAACGACTATTAAGCAATAAAACTGTTTGGAATATAAAGAGCGAATATTAGAGTATTCAAATCTAAGATTAAAGTATTCAAATCTAATATTTAAGTATTCAAATCAAGGATTAGAGTATTGAAATCAAAGATTAAAGTATTCAAATCGAGTTCAATTTAAAAGCCAAAATATTAAAAGAATATTATTCAAAGTACAACATATTTTTCTCTGTGTGCTACTGATGCTGCCTTTTCAGGAAGGATTACGAACTTGCGCACAATTTGCTTAGCTGTCGTTGTTAATGCTTTGCGCCCTCGTTTGCCGCCTTCCTTTCCTTTTGTTTTTCCAGGCGGGCAACGGACGATGAACGGTGAGCAAGTTCACCGACACTTGAACACGATAAAACGATAAATAAATAATTAATGCGTTTAACTTTTCCATTTACGCTTTTTCCGTGACTTGAGCATTAACTGCTTTTCATTTTCATTCATTTCATAGTACGCACAGATACGGGGAACGCATAAAAGCGCTAGCAGCATGTGTGCCCAGTGATGGGAGGTATCTATACAGTAAGGATATTTTAGGTACTTCATATATATTACTTTAAAAATTCATATATTTTTTCACTATTTTTTATTACATAATGTAAAGAAATATAATTTAAAGCAGTATAATTATTTTAAAAATATTTTATAATATTTTTAAGCAAGAACAAAGCAAATATTTTCTTTTTGATTTTACTCCACCTGGGTATAAAATATTACCTTACCCATCACTGTGCATGAATTGGTCTGACCCGGCCCTGGACCCTTCCTCTGACCCCATGGAGCCTCCGCTCTCCCCAAAAGTTAAATCTCCTTGTCCCGGGTCGAGGCTGGTGTTGATTCCATTCATCGTTTTACGCCAGCGCTTTTAAAGATACGAGTATCTGTCCTTGCTCCCTGTACTCCTCCACCCCCGCTATCATGCTCCCTTTATTTAACCTCCTCCCCCACTGGTTGCATTTTTAAAGTGCATAGAAAGCTGCAGGGGCTGCAGATGGTTGGTTGGCAAAAATGGGAAAAAAGTGTAAAACAAAAATAAATGTGTGTGGCTGGGTCGTGGCTTAGACTCGGGGGTTACTCTCTAGATTCATTGATTAATGGCTGTTTACAGAGTATAGTCAGGAAATATTGGAGGGCTTAGAAGAGGATATAAATTTGCGGGATAAAATTGGGAGAATAATTTCTTTGCGAGCTCCATTGACATTTAATTAAATAAAATATATTACCTTTGCAGAGATGAAACAGAGTACTTAGGAAAAGAAAGTTATTCACTTTAAATTAATATTATTTTCTCAGACTTTATATTTCAGTTCGTTCAACCCATAATTTTAGACATTCAATGGGGGTAAATAATATTGCGTATACGCCACCGACCAGCCTGATATACTCACACCTTTTATGGGCAGTTGGTTGGTGGGTGGGATTGAAAAATTTCTGCCTGACTCGCTAAGCTGCAGCGGTGCAAAGTTCATTTAAAGCTCCGACCTGCACCACCTGCTATTACCAGCGTGGAAAATCTTTTAGCCGTTCGTGTGAGTGCGCTGGCAGCCAAAGGAAAAAGCGCAGCAAAATGGCTTGAAAGGCAAAAAGAGCATGGCTTTTTTCCGAGTATTTTCCTTTAATACCACAATAGATGGGCCACGGGCGGAAATTGAATCCACTCTAGGGCGAAAATTAATAGCGTATACGCTATGTTAATTGTTTTTATTGGACAGAAATTTGGGTGGATAAGGGTTAAGTGGCCTTCTGGCGCTTATGTTCTAATGGTTTTTATGGTTAGTTTGTTATTTTAGTTATAAATGTGCCGGACTATACTTTTAAAACATCTCAATTAAAATAATCTGAAATTGCTAAAAATTAAAGCAATTTGACCAAGAAGTTAGGTGGAATCAAAACGAAGTAAATCCTTAAATTCCGAAAAGCTATGTAAATTTACAGCTATCAAGTGGATAAAGGCTCGCAATAAATCAGCTTTGATACGCAACCATAAACTGACCTTCCTGCCAAGATGATGCAGTACACAGGAAGCCCGATGATAAGCGTTGGGGCCACAATCTCGAAAGCTCAGCAGGTATCAGTTTTTCAATCAATGGCAGCTGCAAAAAATGCCCGACGAGTGTCAGGAAGTGGGCGGAACCAGGATAGGAATTGCATCGCATGGGTGAGGTTGACAGCTGCTTCAGCACTTTTGCCGTTGCCAACGAAAGTCAGAGTTATCTCAGATATGAATAGTGTATGGTACGTATACATACTATGTGTAGTAAGGAAGCGAGGGAGTTGACGAGGGGCCCTGGGAGAAAAAACGGGGTGTAAGGACAACAAAAGTTCAATTTGGCGCTACAAAGTCTGTAAAAAGAAAATCTACTTGCAAAGGCAAAACATGTAACAGAATGCAACAGCAAAAAGCACAACAGGGAGACATCCGATGGACAGGAAGCCAATGCATGTAAGCTACATGCACTTGAAAAAATACATTGGACTTGAACAAAGGACTGAGAAATTGTAGGTAAATCAATCAGCAAAAAAGAAATTAATAGACTTTTTAAATTAAATATTACATTTAAGAGAATCACTTAGGAAATTGACTTTGTAAATACTGTTTAATGTATGAGTTCCAAAATATCATATCGTAAATCATTAATCCATTGGTTTGCTATAAAATAACCAAGAAGAACACTTCTCAGGTCGATTTAAAATTATGGGAAATTTTCTAAAATCCATAGAAAACCTCCAAGTGGTCCTCTCGTGTGCATCAAGCAGCTCCCATACATCCAAGCTCGGGCAGGAACCCAACTCACATTCACCTACATGTACAGCCACTTGATGTCGCTTCCGCTGTTCATTTGCTGTTTTATTGCCGCTGCCCGCAGCAGTTGGCCAAGTTTTGGGTTGAGTGGGGGTGGCCTTTTGGCCGCTAGAGGTGAGCATGTGTTTTATTTCGTTTAATTTGTTTTGGCTTTCCCTTTTATTTGTGCCAGTTGCAATACAACTTAAAGTGCACGCTATCACTGGTTTAATAACATATAAAAAACCTACAACAAGTTTCAAGTATCTTATTTAAATAAATCCAACAAAAATGGAGATGGCTTTTTAAATATTTTTGATTTTATTTATAAAGAAATTTAAAATTGTACGTTAAGGGAATGATTTTAATTTTTGAAAAACAATTCCTACTATTATTCCAACCAATTTGTAAAAGTTTGTAGATATGCTTTATTATATCGATTCTTTTAATTATTTAAGTAATTATCTAAAATTGTAGTCTGCATAATTTATTATTGTGGGCAACTATGATCATCTCTAATATGTAATTTGTGTCTCGTTGGCCTGACTTTTCCGTTGTTCTTGGCGCTGCGCCTGGTCACGTGCCACGGCAATAGGAGCAGGACCTCCACATTCACAATCACATCTCCCAATCCTTATACCTATCCATGTCCTTGTCCTCACCGCCATTCCACCCACCACCTGTCAAGGTGCTGCGTTTTATGTCCAAATGATTTGTACGCTAGCCAAGGCATTTGATTTCTTTCTGCCAGTTTTTCCCCATTTCCCATTTCAGGGCACTTTTTGCTGCCGTATTGTTATGGCATTTTGCAAATCGTAATGACGCATGTTAACAATGTTTCTGGTTCGGCAGGGCAGGAAAATGGAACTGGAAAAGGAGCTCAAGCCGGGTAGTTAAACTTGTACATATGCAGACAGTACAATTTGCGTCTATGATGGATTATGCTTTCCTGGCTTCTGACAGCCCAACTTTTACTTCTTTCGTCTTTCGGCAGGAGCAGATGAGAAGTGTATCTAAATCTTTGCCTCTTTTACATCATTTATTGCCATTGAATTGTGTAATTTGTTGTACGTGCTGGTCGTGTTAACAATGTGCCACTGTGAGCGTTTGTATCTGTGTGTGTTACCCACTCGAGCACCTGCTCCGTTGTCCCCGAATGAGTCTTGGTCCTGGCCACCCATTGTCCTCGGCCTTCCACTGGCCTGCCCCCAAATCCCCATTTACATGTGTATGTCGCATGTGCGAACAGGGCTTTATGAACAGGCTCATAATAACTTACAAACTCAATGGTCGTTGGCTGATGTTTAATCTCTTGGTCTTATCTAAAATGTCTAAATCATCTAAAGTGTAAGCAATGTAACAACTTGAGTAGCCCAGAAATTACTTCAAATATTCCCTCTACTCATGAAGTTTTTATTAACTACTAACTTTTAGTTATAATTTAAATATTCCCTAAAAAATGTATTTCGTATTCATCTTTTTTTTATAACTTTAAAGGAAATTTATCTAGATTGTCGTCGCGACAAAGTAATGGGAATAGGTTTACGCGCTTGAATAAATAAATCAGTGAACTCTTCATCCCGAAACCCAGCCACACTGGACACTCTGAATAGATGTATTTCCTGAGAAATGATTTCGCATTCAGGGTCAGTCAGCCTCAGCCCTCCGCTCTGCTTTGTACCAGCACATTGTCGGCAAATTCTAATTTATAACTGCCAGAAAAAAGGAAGCCCAGGAAAAACAAGGGAAAACTTTTGTGCCAGCTTAGAGGGCATCAATAAATTTCGCATTAATTCTGGTCCCATCATTAGGCGACTGGGCCCCGGACATGTTCATGTTCATGGCCGGCAGTAAGTTCACAGTGTGCCACCAACTTGATGCTGGCCAACAGAGATGCCACCGACTAATTCAGAAGGTATTAAAAAATGTATACACAAAAAAAACACGCCGCGGTCAAAACGATATGTATATGGTAAATTTGAGGAATTTCCCTCTCGAAGATTCTCTGACTTTGAAATATAGTGGAAGATGCAATGTGGCGAATTAGAAGTATACTGAGAAAACTTGAGAACGAAAAAACCAAGAACGAATCTTCTTGATTTTAGTATTTTGTCTTCTCACTTTTTTTAGCACAAACGTTCTTGAAATCAAGAATAAAAGCATTCTTGATCTGGCTTTTTGAGAATACATCATTCTTGATTTGGTTTATCAAGCATGAACACTCTTGAAATCGTCCCCAAGCATTCTTGAAATCGTTCTCAACTTCGTCTCAGAGATGAAAAAAAAAGAAGATGCAATGTGGCGAATTAGAAGTACAAACCCTCTCAATTCGAAATAAAGCAAGATAGTGCCTAAAGTTTCATTCGAGCACATCGAATTGCGATGCCCGCATATCAACTCAAAATTGATACAACATAATAGCAAATCGATCACCGGTTTATATCAAGTTTTTTTGGGGGTATGGTAAAAATATAAAATAAATAAAAGAATTTAAAAAAGTAGTCTTTTAAACTTAAGCATAATAAAATACCCAAGCATGTTAATAAAATTCTAAGAATTAAGTTGTTTAGCAAGAGAAACCCAACACTGTCCAAAAACACTTCCCAAGTCGCTCCAAAGGGGAATAAATCTTTTCAGCAAAAAGTCGAGCTGCCAACACAACTGGCGGCATCAGCAGCGTCAACAGAGGCAGTGGCAACTGTAACTGTCACCGGGGTGTGTGTCTGGGTCATAACTCAAAGGGACGACGTGGAGGGGTCAGCAGGCGAAAGTTGACCCAAACGGAGCCTGACCAAAAGTGGGACCCAAGGCTGACCCCCTCGCTCCCCCACCATCGTTTCAATTGCGGCCGACCCGCGTCTCTGACTTGGCCGCTTTTAATTACCGCATTTCACTTCTGCCCCACAATCCGCTGCCTCTCTCTTTTTCGGGCGACTCTGCCACTCGATGGCAGCTCATCTGCATTTGATGATGAGCTGTGGGCGTGGCAGGGTGAAAGTTCATTGCAGCTGTTGTCATTTGGCTCTGGCTTCTCCGCTTGCCAATTGTTGTTGCTCGCCACACGGCAAAAAAAAAATTATAAGGATTTATATCGCAGAACCCAAGCATCCTTTAAATTTAGAATTTCTCTGTCATATATTTGAAAACTCAAAACTTCTTTTTTTATGCTAAACGATTCACTAGGGTTTTGAATTGGAATCGAAATATACAACCTTAGAGATTTCGCGGTACAATCAAATGCTAATACTTATTTGTTAATAATTATTTTTTAATAAAAATGCTTATGTTATTTCGAATATATTGCAAATATATTAGCAAGTTTTCAACTATAGATTTTATGGTTTTTTTTGTATAAGTTTGTTTAATTTTTTCTCATTTTCCCAACTCTTTTGAGTCTCCTGGAAGCTTTAAAATTTCAAATATTTAAATTATTTGAATACTTAAACTTGGAATGGCTAGGAATAAATTTGTTTTATTTTCAGTGCCCCTCCTGCTTATATGACTGTTGATGGCTGATGTTGCTGGTATTTTGTCCTTCCGCAATTTGCAACTGTTTGTCGTGTTTGCACGTCCTTTTCTGTGTACTGTGCAAATGCCCTTCTTTGGTTTTGCATTTTTCGCCCAGCATCACAACTAATTTGCATGCCTTAAAAACGGATTTAGAAACAAAATGTAGATTCGCTCTTTGGCAAACTGTTACGCTTGAACATGTCGGATCTAAGTGTTGGCAACTAATGGTAAATCGTGTAGCATGAAAATCGATGGCAACCAGAAATGACCATGAGGCGTAATGAGTTTTGGGTTTTGCTTTGTTCAATTTTCCATTCTAGTCAAATAGTAGTTATTAAAAAATAAAGCTCTTTTAAGAATTTAAAGCACAAATAAATAGAGACAAGTTTCCAAATTACATTTAAATTTAATACCCGTTTAAACAATTTAACTAAAAGTCTGCATTTCACATTTGCACATGCTAAAATGTTTTCCATTTTGTTACACCCATTTATCCTTGCAATCCAATACCCAATTTCTCTGGTTGCATTCAGGCCGATTTCGGTATTTGACCAACTCATTTGGAATTTCCAAATGAATTTGGCCTTCGGTTGAAATGTTACCTTGATGCTGCTGCCAAAAGAGGGGGTTTCCATTTCAAGTCCCGCCCGAATGACTTGGCAACTTTTTTATTGCATCAAAACAAGTCGCCCCCAACACAACCTCAAAAGATATAGATACGAAAACTGAGAGATAAAAATAGAGAGAGCGAGTAAGCAAATAGGACAGAGAGCTGGAGACAAAACTAACGTTGCTTAATGAAAGTGCAAAAGTTTCTTTCGCGCGGCCACGAAATGAGCTTAAAATTTAGTTAGAGTTTCGGTTGCATTTTGCCCTTTGCACTTTGCTCCCCGGTTTCGTTTTTCGTTTGAATTTCAATTTGGGTTGCGGGCTTTTGGGTTTCCCTTGGTTAGTTTGGTCTGGGGTTACGGTTCCACCGGATCTTAGGCACTTACTTGCGAAAATGTCGAGTTCCACGGACGAGTCCCGGCGTACAGCAGTTGACCGTGACCGAGGTACCTGTGGGGAAATTAGCGGATTTTCGTTACTTGCTCCTTTGAAATCAAGATTGCGCAGTGAGTGCATCAATAATTCACAGTGCAAACTATGCAAAAATGTTCGCGCTGCACTAAGAGAAACCTTGTAAAAAGTATTTTTATAAAAATTGATCGTAATGACAAGCCTGAAACAAAGTTGTTTTGAGACTTGGTGTTGAAAAACTTAGGAGCAAATTAAGAAAATATATTTATTATACAAAAGTTTTACTGATATAATTATTAACTCGTAAACTAAAAAGAAATCGAATTTAAAATAATATAAATAATTATTATTCAATCATTTAATTATCATTTAAAAACTCACAAAAAAATTTGATTTTTTTCCTCGCAAAATAATGTATATTAAATCTTAAATCTTGCAAGAATATATAAAAGTTAAATTAAAGTTCAAGTGCACCAAAGATACAAACTCATTAATTACATTTTCGTGGTCCAATGGCCACTAACTGGGCAATTGAGATAGCCCCGAAAAAGCGGTTCCTCTGAGTGCAGTTCGCAGTTCTCGAGGGAGAAAGCCCCCAACTCACGGCTCCTACCTTTGAGTTCCCTGGCCAGCCAGCGGGTGGCCAGCACGACGCAGAGCTTCGAGTGGGCGAAGGCTTCGCGGGCGTGGAACTTGACCGACCAGGTGCCCACATTCAGTGGATCGTCGAAATCGATTTTGGCCCCCTGATGGGCGTGGGCCGAAACGAAAATGATGCGTCCTTGGGCCGAGCGCTGCAGATGGGGCAACAGCAGGTGGGTCAGCAGGAAGGGGGCCAGGTAGTTCACCTGGCTGTGCCGCTCGAAGCCGTCCTCCGTGGGCACCTGGGTGTTGGCGAAGACCACGCCGGCATTGTTCACCAGCACATCGATCCGCTCGAATTCCGCCATCAGCTGGCCGGCGAAGTGATGCACGCTGCGCAGCGAGCAGAGGTCCAGGTAGCGGGCCTCCACGAAGTACCTGTCCGCCGGATTGTCATCCTCATCCGACGCACTCAAGGGGGTGCGGCAGCCCAGCTCCCGTTTGATGATGGCCGCCGCCCTTTCGCCGGCCTGGAGATTGCGGCAGGCGAGGATTATCCGGCCACCTCGGCCGGCCAGAGCCTGGGCTATTTCGAAGCCAATGCCGCCACTGCCGCCGGTGACCACCACGATTTGCTCCTTGATTTGATTATCGTTCGGGCAGCGCTGGCCGCTCATTAAGGTCCTGGCATGCGGGTAAAGGATACAGATTAGATGGCGGATGTCGAAGTGGGGGTGCGGGGTGGGTTAGTTGGTGGGCGTGGCATGTGGGATGTGGCCTGTGGTTTATGGCTCGCTAAATGACGTCCTCCGGCAGCCGTGTCACGTGTGTGCACTCAACCAAATTTACTACAAAGTCCTTACATTTCAAAAGGTGCAAAAACAATCTCAAAAATAATCTCTATTTCCTTTGCATAAAAAATTAAAATTAGAAAATAAACCAATGTAATAAAATACCAACTTTCTGTTATAAATTCTAGAATATTTCTACTGTTCTTTTCTGTCTTTCTTCCTAATATCAAACACATAGTTTTTCTCAGTGCTCATGTGACTGGTGTAGGAAATGTTGTCGGTGTTTTGGCTTATTGATAGGCGTTAATGGAATCAGCCTGCCCATTTGCATAAATCTGCCTGGGGGCAATTTGGAATTTGACTAACTCCGGCCACTCATTTTCAACTTCAATAAATTTGGCGACCTTCAACAAACAGTTATTGTTAATTTATTTAATTTCAAGCCTCGGGAAACAAAATGGCATTAATTCAATGCAGGTATTTAATTGACTAATTAGTATTTATTTCTTGATTTCCAATGCAACACAAAATTTCAACGAAATCCCACATAAATAGGTAACTATTGGGAAAATTACTATTGGAGTCAATTAATTCGCATGGTCGAATTCTAATTCGTTTATTTACATTTTATGTTCGTTAGAGCTGTTGTGTAGAAATTTTGGTTGATTTCAATTTAAATACAATGCATTGATGTTAGCACATTCGAAAATTCCCAATCAAATTAGTAATTAGGAGTTCCTTTTTTAAAAGCCGTAATTTAATTAATTTATTAGCTGTCAATCTGCGTACATAAAATACTTTGGGATCGATAAAATTGATTTAAATGATTGTGTTCTTTAAAAATCTCTTTACAACTCGTATTTAACTGACACACCCTCCCACAATCGAAGCCACTTAAATATCTGCTGCTTGCAGTCAGCTATTTCCTCCATAATCTTCACCACATTCCATTTGCTCCACTTCATTTGGCAGAGACTTATTTTGGCACTTAACTCTAAGTTTTCCGTGCCATCCTTCATTTTGGAATTTATTTGGCATTTCATTTACTTTGAGCCAAACTTGCGCAAATCCACTTTGTAAATATTTTGAGGTGGTGCAGGGGGTGGTTGTGTGGGCTTAAAGAACGGGCCGGAGTGCCACATTGCAGTCACTTCCATTTCCGCTTCCGCTTTTTCGGCTTATACTAACACCTGCAACTGCGAAACGACAGATAGCGAGGGGTCACAAAAACCGCGATGCTCGCAGAGCGCAGGAATAACAAAAACCAGAAAGTAAGAACGTTGCTTAATACCTAGACTATCGGATACCCTGTAAAAAGTGCTTTAAAGGTTTAAAAAGTGAAAAATTAATCGAATTAAATCCGAAATTTCAATTGCAAATGATTGGAAAAAATAATTATAATAATTCCTAAATTGTTACCTCTTTCTATCCCTTACTTTCTTAGATCACAATTCAGTTGGCACAAAATCTACCCCCGTTACCCTACGGGTAGTGGGTTTAAAAAAACAAAATGGAAATAATCTTTAGATATTACATATTATCCGGGTCTTCACTGCAACACTGCTCAGCCACTTCCTGTTCATCTCCACCAACACCATCATCTCTGTATGAAATCCACTTAAAAAGTTTTTCGCGAACGGTGAAGGAGCGGGCTGCTGGGACATTTATTTACGTGTGTCCGAGGCGAAAGTTTTTATGCCCCAAATGGGTTCGCGAGAAGGGGGATGGGGAGGGGTGTGGCCGGGTGACAAAAAATAAATAAAAAACTGTTTCCGTTGACTCATCGCACTCACCGCACCGTAATCACAATGCCCACCGTAAGGGCGGCTATCGTGGGCCACCACGTGGAGAAGGGATCCGCCTCTTCGAACATGGTCAACAGTCGCTCCATCCTCGGAGGCTTCCTTATGTATTCGCCCCTTGGTAACTCGGTATCTGCACTGGCTCACTTTCTTTCTCGCCCTGCACTTTGTATTCCTGGCTATCGATGAATGAATCTGTGACGTCGTCTGCACGGCACAATTGTTGAACGCGAACTGACCGGGATCCGTAGTAATAAATATAAATTCTCTTTGCGTGGTCACCCGCTTGTCGGAGCATGTATGTATGTAAGTACAGTGACCTCTCACTAAAGGAAAAACTGAGGATTTATATGCCAACAATATAGAAATTAAATATTTGTTTTTACTTGTATGAAAATTTTGTTTAAATTAAACATTATAAATATTATTATAAACATTAGTTTACTTTTGCTTATATCGAATTTCAGAAAAAGGAAATTTTAGTATCGAACTTCTAGGAAAGTTAAAGATGTTTTTCTTTCAGGTAATTACTGCGAAATGTTTTTAAAGTCTTATTTATATTAAGTTTTATACATTCCTTCTATGAATTATCTTAATACTTAATTTTTCATAGCTTCTAGAAAGTTCCTAAATTCATGAGATACCCTTAACGGGAGATCCCTGTTATAATGCGGGCTTGTGAGTGGATTCGCTCACATTTGAGCGCAGATTTTCAGAGCCGGCAAAGAAGATGTCGTTGACAATTGAATTTAAATGACCAGCCCACCCCGCTCAACATCGCCCCCTATTTGAGGCCCCTTGAAACGTCACCGGCATATTTTCAATTTACATAAATGCTTGTTGCGCGGCATACGAAATGAGCGCTAAAAAGAGATGGTGAACCTGTGTCCCCTAGCTCCTCATTTTCCTCCCCTTCTGGTTTTTTCTTCAGTTTTTCCACCTGTCGTCGCTTTAAAGGTTAGGTGCAAATTTGCACAGGCCGCAATAAAAGAACGTGAGAGGGTCGGGAAATTCTGCTCGCTATTTACACGCGTTTTCCATTTTTTAATTTGTGTTTTTATTTCGCTTTTCATTCAGTTTTTTCTCGCATTTTTCTGCGGCTTACGCATTCGGTTAGCATATTTTTGTATGTGAAAACGCAGACTAATGTGATTCAATTAATCTTCACGCGGGTTCAGCTCGAAGATCTCCTTTTTTATTTTGCCTTTATTAAAATGTGTACTATATCTGCCAGACTGCGTGGCCACAAATTTTAATTACTCTTTAACAGCTGTTGGTAAGATATGAAAAGTTGGTTTAAGACCATTTATTCCTTTTTAAATAAACTTTAAATTATTTAAAGTAATATTATTTTAATATAGGCTCCGCAGCAGCAGAAAAATAATCAACATTATTTTACTTTAATAAATGTACAGCCTGTAATAACTAATGTATGCAATTTCATAAAATCAATTATGAAAATATGGCCATTTAATTGCGTAATTGCTTAATGACCCTGAAAAAGGAAATTTAATTACCTACAAATGATTATTGTCCATATATTGAAAACTGCAGGGCTCAACAGTTTGTACTAATCATTGCAAAATAATTGAGTGCAAAACAATTGTCTGTCGAATGTGTAAACATTTTTGGCCATATTTATTACATTTATTTTATTATTACACCATTTCTTCAGGCATTAAGCTTATTTGATTCTCAATATCAAAATGAAATTGTAAAATGGAAAATGTAATAATTTATAAGAGCTGAAGACTACAAAATTTTCTCAAATTTACTTTAATCTGAAAAATACAAACCTTTTATATCCCACGCCCTTATTTACCTTGGCCATGGCGTACACAGTGTCCGAATTTATTATCCAGAAGAGATCTCAACGGAGAGCCATCATCATTTGTTCCGATGGGACTGTGAAATGCTATTCATTCGCTTTCAGTCCATTTCGTTTCACCCTCTCACCCTTTTAAACTTCAATTCAATTACAACGCATCCATAAAACATGCCAGCAACTAAATATATTTTTCGAGTAATTTAGTCCGCAGCACACAGACCACCGTACCATCGTAGTTTCCATGGCCCCTATGGGAGCTATGGAAAGTGCACTCAATGCACTTTACGCCTCCACATTCGTAGTGTGTTATTTCCATTTCCGGTTTAACAATTGATTGAACAGCATCCCAATATGGGGGCTATCGCTATCCCAACACCCCAACACCCCACCACCCCAACCCATTTCGAAATAAATGAAATTGCACACTCAAATGGATCTTTGTACGTGTATTAATACTTTTGTTATATTTTTCGCTTTCTTTTATTGAACATTTCGTCAATTTACATACTCTGGTGTCTAATGTAGCCTATGTTTTTGCCAAATTTGCATATTTATTTCAAATTTCATCTGCGTTGCCTTTCGTGTCTCGTGTTTCGTTTCGTTTCGATTGGATTCGATTCGATTCTCTTTTATTGTTACATTAAGTGTTGTTTGTAGTCGTTTGCTTTAGCTAGTTGGTTTTCGCTCAGACAGTGTTTTTTCCATTAATTTTTAATGCTAATTGGTAAATTGTTTCAGATATTATGCTTCTTGCATTGATGTGCGTGTACTTATATGCGTGTATGTGGTGTTTTTATGTGTGGTAGTGTGGTCGTATGATAGATAGATAGATATAGTATCTGCATATTTGCTTTAGATTTGCGTGGAACTTTGTCTGATTTTATCTGCAAAATAAGGTAGTTTCCATAAGCGAAAGTGCATGAGTTAATGTCTCTATGTCTTTGTGTTAATTGGTATACGTATGGACAGTGCGTTTCATCGCTACAAATAAAAAAAAAGTAAATATATTAAAAAATAAATACAAATACAAATGTTTTCTGTTTCTTAAAATATAAATATATTTTCAAAAAAAATATTGAAAATTAAAAAATTTATTGATGTAAATTTTTGCTGAATTATTAAAATAATACATTTCACTTCATATTTATGAAGAACAATACTTAAACAGTTGTAGTTCTGAAACGCACTGTATGTGTTGTTATCTTATTCTATATCGCTCAGTTATATCAAGATAGCTAAAGCATCTTATTAATGTGATTCAGAACTCTATATACAGATGATATCGAATTCAGGTAAATAACAAATAATCGCTTAACAGAAATTTAGTAACAATGTAAACATTTTAAGATTCGCTAAGAATTATCAAACGTGGTTTGTGTTTTCATTTATATTTTACTTTGTTGGTTTTCCGTTTAAAATTAGTATCACTAACAAGCTTTTGTTTTATGTTTATATTTGACATGCTGCGAGTGGTGAAAAGAATTGCTGGCTCTTTCTTCTCACCACTCCTAACATCTTACCAATGTCTTCCTTTTTCGATCTACTTTAGTTCAGTTTATGTGTTTTTCGTTCAATTGTGTATCTTGTGTTCGACTTGTTACTAAAGTTAAAGTTTTACTTTTGCTTGGTCGTCAATTGTAAATATATATAATTATATTCATAGGCATAGAATTTGTAGTATCTATAAATAGGTATATGTAATCGTATATACGCACAACTAATCTCAAGAACCTATGCAATATTGCAACTCTCGTTTCCTATACAATTTGAAAAGTGTCCCCGAATTCCCGAGGGTACGAGTGATATCTACTTAGAGCTTACTCTTAAGAAAAGCAAACTGCCACGCCCATCGACATAGCCGCCCCCCGACCTAGCCTTATCTATTTAAGTATGTATAAATGATTTACAAGCTAGAAATTGTAAATTTATGCTACGTAAAGTTGAAAAGGACAATAAAAATAATCTCTGGAATATTTACAGCGGACTTCTAGGGTGGGCGGGGCATTGTGGTTTTCGGGTGGATATGTGGGAACTACAGGGGTGCTATCATTATTGCCATCATGGCCTCGACATATGCATACTAAACTGGAAAAATGCTTTGCAATATTTGTGTATGAATAAATTCCGCCTCTCCTCGTCGTTTCACGCTCCGAATTCCGTGTGTTTTTTCTGTTGATGTTCAACTTTATTTGATGTTGTCAACTTTTTGTTAGCGCTTGTCCGCAGAAATTGTTATTAATAATTTATTGATACAACAATTTGTGATATTTTTAGAATCGTTGCGTGCCATTCAATTTATTTATTTATGCATTTTCAGTGTTCAGTGTTCAGTTTTCAGGCTTGGGCCATCAATTTTACCTATCTCGCGAATAGTTAATCGATTCTGGCAATGTGCGGATTTGGTTATATACTATGTACAAATTGTTCTAATGCCCAGTTTCGCTGATTCGCCGATTTATGCTGCAGACTTTCCTATTTTGTTGCTTTTAGATTTCCAATTTCGTAGCTGCGGGTCGTGCTGCCCTCACAAGGCCGATATTAGGGTCATAAAATCTGCAAATAGCGAAGCGAACAAATATGAAAATTAGATTAGCGGTCGTCATGGCTGCGGCAAAGCAAATACATAATTCCGGAGTCTGTCGATACCGCTCGATTGATTCGCCAATATGTATTTGACTGTTTGTTTTGCATATATGTTATGTGCAATGAATATCATAGTGAATGGAAATATTCGATTCGTGGTCGGAATCCAGACCTCTAATTTACTATGGTATACAAAGGTAAGCACCACACTTGTAATATTTTTTAAATATAACCATCAATCAAGGCTTATTACTGGATATTAAATATAAATTATATCTTTGCAACAAACAGGCGATTAAATGAAATACATTTTAAATTGGTGATAAAGGCCCGCTACCTCCTCATAATTATGATATTTTTGGTGCTTAAACCTAACACAATATTTACAGAATCAGGAACTAGCAATATTTAATGGCCCCCAATAAATTAGGTTCATGACTCCCAAATTAATGAACTTTTGCTGGCAATTAGCTCATATAAATTTATTACGTAATGCATGAGAGTAATTTCGGGTAATGCGAACGGGGAAGCCATGAACGTAATCTACTCCCGTTAGGATGCCCCCCTTTTCGGTAACTGCCATTGTCAGGGCCGTTGCCATTAGCTCTCAACACTTTTCGGCCAGGGCTCAGGCTCATTTCGTATAATGGACCATTCGGTTATTTGTTATTAACCCAAATGGGCATTCAACAAACCTAAAAACCCCCGGAAAGTATGGCCAAAGTGTAGCGGTAGCAACCAGAATCCAATCGATTTTAATAGTCAGAAACCGAAAGGTTTTCTCAAGGGAACTGCGGGTGAATGTTTGGCTCAGTTTATGACAAGTACAGTGTGTCACAAAGTTTAAATGCCTTGGAAATTTCGTTTGAAAAATTTAGTGCGACATAGGAATATATCCTTAAGTTCTAGAAAAATATATTAAACAATATAAATTTACCTAAACACATAAAAAACACAATTTTAAATGACCTTGCCTTCCATTTTTTACCCAGACTGTAATAAGAAGGATATGGGAGGCCATGAATTTTCAGAACCTGACAATTTTTTAATCAACACCCAGATGGCCAGCAGCAACAAATGGCCCGAAACGAAAACTGGGCTAGGAAATGTCGCTAACACAAATAAAAAACAAATGCAAAATATTCCCGGGCAATTTTGGCACGTGCTCGGCCCACATTGTTGTTGTGGTTATTGTTGTAGTTGTTGTTGTTGGCGATTGTGTGAACCTTGATTAACGCAACAGGAGGGGAAAAGAGGGGAGTGCGGGAGGGGATTCGGCTGGCAACATCAGCGGTAGGAATATTGTAGCTGTTTGCCAAATCTCTCGGCACTGTCTCTCTAAATTTTAACTATGAATGTCCTGGGCCGACAGCAACAACAGAAAATATACACTTAAAAAAATGAAAATTGCAAATATTTTTTTATTGTCGAATATATTATAGATCTTTAAAAATTTGTAAGTGCACTTGATCTCTGCTTTTTTATGATTTTTGATTACAATTGCTTAAAAATTCGGTATTATACATATGTATATGGAAATACCACTTTAGATTGATAAATAACCAAAATATGTAATTTTGGCTTTTATTTGAAATATTTAACGTATGTTTTTGAGTTGGTTTAAAAATATCTCTTTAAAAGTATGTAGCTCTCATAGATTTTACAGGCCTACAAAGACCGCAATAGTTTTTTCCAAGTGCACTTTCCTATTTGTGTGTGCGGGCTGTTTGTGTGCGAGTTGGCAGTAAAATTTGTTTACCAAAACCTTCTTAGCTTGGCTTAGTAGCCCCCGCACCGCCATTGTTTGTGTATTTGCATTTCGGCTCCTCTGGCTGTCTTGTGCACCCCCAAAAACAGCCCAAAACCACCCATCATCCACCCCCCTTAACCCTTACCCCCTCACCTGCGCCCCTGGGTGTGAAATTTCATGCATATATGTATCTATGAGTGCCAGTGCGAGCGGGTTTGTTTGTGTGTTCGTGAGAGAGTTCGTGCCTCGCCTTTGGCCTTTTTGCAGCTTTTGCTTTTTTAGCCACTTTTGTTTGCCTGGCTGTTGTTGCCTTTGTTTGCCGCTCCCTATTCCTCCTTCCTTGGCTTTGGGTTTTGGACAGCTCGGAGTCCTTTGACCAGGTTGTCAGCGAAAGAAAGGGTACAAGATAGACCAGAAAACGGCGTCGCATTTAAGCATCCCAGGAAAGTGAAATGTAAATCGCTTTCCCGCCTCTTTTTCGTTGTCGCGGAAAATGGAAAGTGCATGTGGTCAAAACATTGCAGGCAGCATAATAGGAATTTTAAATATAACGAAATATAAGAGAATATATATTTGTTTCTGTTTTTGATAAACATTTTTATGGAATACTAGATTAAAATAGGAAGATAATTTAATTTTATAAGCCTTATCTTGTTATAGATAATAAATTAAAATTTTTTAAAGTTTTTTAACAATAAATCAGAATGTTTAATATTCCTTCTAGATTTAATTAAAAAAAAAAAATAAATAAATTAAAAAACAACTAAATTAAAAATAATATTATGGGCATTATGAAAATAAACAATATAATTTTTTATATCCAACTATTAATATCTTCGTTAATTAAACAAATTATTAATCAAAATTCTATATTTCAGCGTGGGGCTAATAATTATTTTGCATATTTAGCTGCAGAGGGTAAACCATTGTCGGGGTCAGTCCCTTCAGAGCTTTATGCTTTACTATGTTGCTAGAATTTTATATTTCACGGCAGATGCGGTTGGAGGGATTTTTGGAGGCTGAAATACACGAAACCAGCCGCAGCTGCTCGGCGGGCAGAACGTTGGGTGTCAGAATCTCGGACTCGGCTTTTTTTGGCCACTAAAAACCGCAATGTGGAACGTGTTATGCAAATCTGGCTTGGTTTTCGGGCGCCATTGTCCCAGGACTAGTGTTCTCTCTACCGGTAGGCGGCATTTGGTATTTGGCCTGCAATGGGATCTGTTGACCATCTGCAGTGCCAACGGTGGCATCAAAAACAATTTAGCTGCTCCGCTCAGCAGTTTTTGTCACCGCCATCCTTTTCGCCTTTATTTGATTCACTCAAAATGTTAATTTAAATTGCAAACAGTCCATTGTTTCGAGCTTATTGTTCTTTTTATGTTTACCTTCGTCCCGGCTTTTTTTTCGCTCTCTCCGCAATTAGCATTGCAATGAGGAGGGAAGGGGTTTTGGGCTGGGTTGTCGCATTAAAAATGATATCCTAAGTAGATTGTACAAATTGCTCGCAATTATATTTAATAGCTCGTTCAAGTGGGTCCCATAAACGGAGAACGAGCTTCGAGTTGGAAAATAAGGGATGGGTTCTTCGAGGCTCCTTTCACCCTCTTCTTACCATCCCCATTCCATTCCGTTTCGATGCTCAAAGGCAAAAGCAATTTATTAAAAATCGGTCAAGAACACTCGGAAAACGGAAATGGGAAACGCGTGACCTTTTGCCATACAAAAAAACTGACATGAACTGAGTGGTCGCCATTGAGAGATAATTGCAAGTGCACTTTGTCTGAGCTTAGAATGATAATAGTTTCGATTTCAGAAAAAACGGAGCTATCCCTTGAAGCCAATTAAAAAAAAATAAACCAATCAAGGAACCTTTAATTAAATGTATTTAAGCAGGTTTATTAAATTCAAATAAAATTAAATGCTAACATAATTTAAATTCAAGAGGCTATGTGGCTCAACAGCTGATACCTCGAATCAAAAAAGAAATACTAGTAGGTCAGGCGTACAGTATAATAAATGAAGCACATGTCCAATCACTTGTGCCATTTTGTTCGCCAATCAAAGTTTTCAGAGCGCTTGAAAGGGAAACTAAAACAAAAAAGACTGAAAAGTTTGTGAACTTTCTGCAGGCCAACTTATCGACGGTCTCCGGGCCACAAAACAATCAAAGCGGCCCCAGTTACCAAAAGGGCGGGGCGGCAGCGTGGGCGTGGCACACATCCGAGGGTAAACAATAAACTTCAATTATGAATATTTCAGCAACTGTGCGGGGGATGAAGGCAAAGTGCAGGCGAAAGAGTTGAAACTCGCTCAAGGTGCGACAGCAGCAGGAAAAGGACAAACTTTCGGGGGAAACTCTCCGTGGGAAACTTGGCGAGAAGGTGAGGACAGTTCAGGGGCATTGACTTTGATCTTGGTCCTTCAGCCTTCTTTGTTTGCCGTTCGAAGGCAAATAGTCGAGAAGGGCCAAATTAAACAACTGCTCCTCGAGTTCAACGCAATTAAATTGGATTCGCGCCTGGCTTAATGGCCATAATACAACGGGCCTGGCTAATTAATAATTAAATTAAATTTCCGTCCTCCCAGCCATAAAAGTATTAATTGCTGTCCACAAAATCTGGCTTACGCCCAATCCCTCAAGTGGCCAATAACCCACCGAGAAACCCGTCAAACTTCCATTCCCAAAGTGTTGCCATGTTGCTTCCGGTGGTGGCAGCAGCAGCAGCAGCAGCTCGGAAAACCAATTGCACCTCCGCCTCCAAGGAGCTGGGTTCCGAGATTGGATTGGGCGATAATAAAAAATGAGCAGTGTAGATGTAGATGTAATTCGATGCCGGGGCACGGGCGACGCTTCCGCTTCCCGTTGGACAACTTCCGGTGGCAGCAGTTTGGCGCCATGTCAAATTGACAGCCTCCACACGGCCTTATTAATATTGAAGTAACGTGTCACGGTTGTGTGTATATGTGTGTGTATCTTTGGCCTCCCAATGGCCGCATAAAATGCTTCAGCAATATGGAAGTGGCAGTGTGTCTTTGGGTGTACTCTAAAAAAAACTAGTATACAGGGATTTTAGGAAATCTAAAATATACTCAAAGTCTCTCAACATAAACGTCATGTATTGAAAAAAGTGAATGTTGGGTATTAACTAATATTTTTGAATATGAACGTAGTGTGAATACCATATTATAAATAAATATTAAACCTTTCTTACGAATC